GACAATAGCCATTATTCCAGTTTCTGGTCCCTTTTTTTTTTTCTTGTGGTTTTTTTTTTTTTGTCTTTGTTTGTTTTTTATACTTGGGGTAGTTTTTTTGGGTGTTTTTTGTTTTGTTTTGCTGTGAACCCATTTTCTTTGTCCACCTTTTACAGAGAACAAGTTCTTCACCTTCACCTAAAACCTGCCCTCTACTAGATTTTCTGGGTCACAAACAAAGCAGAGAATCCACAGGGGGAAGTAGGCAGTGGGCTAGTCCGAGTCTTCCTCCCCTGCAGAGCACTAGCTCTCAGTGTTCTGTTTGGATTACTAGGTCAGGCGTTCTGGGAGACAGGAAAGGGTTGGTAAAAAGGGCTTTGGTACTTAGGAATATTTTATTGTTAGAATTACTTGCCTGTAAGTAAGTGATCTTATAAGATCTAAAGTGATGGTGAAATATAATGAATGAGTACACGGTGACATGCAGCTGTATATAATTAAGTACTGAACATAAGCTAAAAGCAGCAAGCTTGTGGGGGGATTCCCATAGGGCATGTGCGCTCTCTGGAGCGAGACAGAGAGAGTGAGAAATCACCCCTTGGGGGGATGGCCCACGCCTCGTCTCCCCCATCCTCTCAGGATTTTGGGCATGCCCACACATGTGCCTGGCATAATTTTCAAGCCACTGGGCCCAGGACTCAAACCATGGTTAGCCAGTTGGGACTCTAGCAACCTTAACCACCTACTGGCCACAGCAATAAAAATTTTAATTTATATGGGATAGGTATAGCCTGTAGATAGTGATTCCCTTTGTTTTCTTTCTTTTTTCTTTTTGGTCTATTTATTAAGTGGCTAGACTAAACCAAAATCAAAATATTATTTAAGTGTATTTCTTGCATGAACAAGAGAGAGAGACAGAGAGATAAACAGCAGCCCCCACAGGATTTCAGTGCTGCCATCCATCCTGAGCCTCAGCCAGCTAGGATCATGGGCAGGTGCATGCCTGGTGTACGTGGAGGTCTCTAGACACAGACCTGGAGCCCTCCTGTGGGGTCACCGACGGTCACAGACGGCCGGTGTCATCTGCCAGCCCCAGCGACTCTGTTTTTCATTTAGAAATGCGATTTCTAGCGAGTGCTGCTTTATGCCCCTGTCTCCTGGTAGCCAGAGTTCGAAGGTTATGCAGATTGTGTCCTGACTGGATTTGGACCTTGCTGCCTCTGAAAGTGCACCGGTGCGCTGTGGAAGCTCCCAGAAGCATCTGCTGGTGCTTCCCTTGCGGGATTTGTACTTTGTATCTCACTCAGCTGCCGAGTCACTGGACAAGTTGGAACTGCTAGCCTTATGCAAGTTTGCTTTGAAAAAAAGGAAGTCAGCCAGCAGGTGGCCTAGTGGGTGAAGGCAGCTGGGTCCCACATGGCCGACTGTCCTTTGAGTCCTGGATCCCATGGCTTGAATTTCAACACACCACATTCCTGTCCCTGAAGTCCTTACAGGAGGCAGAGGTGGAGGAGAGGGGATAGCAGTGTGACCATGACCCATGACGGGAGTGCTTTCTCCTTTTCTCTTTCTCTTCTTTCTCTCCAGTGATCGCACACACCTGCTGGAAAAGCTACCCAAAAAAGTAGTAAAGTCATCTTTACATCTTGGTTTAGTCTAGTCGCTTGAGTAGATTGAGACCATAGCAGTTTTCAGAGATGATACCTGTCTGATCAGAGAGGAATGTAGTCCCCAGCCGTGGTGCCACACAGCATCCCCTGGCAGCCATCCACATGAGATGTTGTGGGCTGGTGCAGGCCGTCTGCAGGAGATGGAAGGCCCTGGCAGGAGGCCCTGCAGGCTGTTGGGCAGCTCCCTCAACAGAGACAGCTCTGCAGAGCAGCCGTGAGCGGGAGGTTGAGAGAGGCTTCCTAGGCCTGCAGCAGGGCACAGAGCCTGCTGGAGCTGTCTTCCAAGAGCACGGCCTGGAGTCCGACATGGCCGAAGGCTCAGCTAATGTTCCTCAGGGACCTCCAGCTCCTTAGGGGAAGATAGAACAGGTCAGCTTTATTTCCAGGGTGAGCAAGAAATGCTCAGAGGTTTCGCTTGGCTTTTAATTAAAGAGATTACAGTTCTAGAGTGCATGGTCTCAAAAGCATGAAAGACTAAAAACTTGAAACTAGCTTATTAGAGAACATTAAGCTGCTTGGCTTGGGGTGTGAGATCTGCTAGCAAAGTTCCCCTTTTTATTTAGGCAGAAAATATATACTGAAGATGTGGCTTTCGGAGCATCCGCTTTCCCACCTCAGTACCTGTCTTCAGGGATAACCCTTCACCCGTACGCCTTTTCCCCTTACACCCTCGCGTCGGTCCCAGATGGCGGCCCAGTGCCTGGCTCGCAGTACAGCTACAGCCAGCCCAGCGGTTACCACGGACTTCAAGCAGCACAGCCCCGAAACGAGCATGCCTGCCCCCTCCGCCAGGAAACAAAGGCTCTGACTAAGGTGGGTGGACGTGGTGGTTTCGTGGGACCATCTTGAGTTGGTTGCTTTAGCATTTAAAATGTAACGAGTTGGTCAGTTTATGATGATATTTAAGCGTTATCTTTGGTATTTAAAATCAGTTTTAAAAATGATTGAATTTCGAATAGTTCCTAATTGGCTATTTTTAAGCCTTTCTCGTAATGGTAGTGTTCTTATTTCATATGGCTTTTCAATTTTTCCTGCAGAAAAAAACCTATGTTGAGAAAAAGACATGTGATGAACCAAAGTTGGACAGTGCAAGGGCTGATGGGACTACGTCATCTGCGATCAGGTCATCTAAAGGTTCACACCACTTGCCCGTTGAGAACAGTTTGAAGTCAGGTAAAAATAGCACACTGTCCAGTATCATGCTCCCAGAAGCACTGCTGTCATCTGGGTGGCTGTTTTTGCAGGCTGCTCCAAGAGTGAGACCTGGAGCCCAGCGCAGCTGCTACGGCGGGCTTCCCGTGCGGGGCTGGAGGCCTGTCCTTACAGGCAGAAGGCCATGGGACGGCACCTGCTGTGTGGGCTCGATCTTCCCTGATCCCGTCAGAGTCTGGTTTTATGAGTGAAAAGCTTTTCTGAGGTCACCCAGCAAATAGGTGACAGCCACAGCTTCAACGTAGATCCTTAAAAGCAGTTCACAGCTATATCCTTCGTACTATATTTTGTCCATGTCCACTTCTTCCTTTTAAAAAAAAATTTTATTTTGTTTATTATTATTTAATTTGCTATAGAACCCATGTTCTCATCAGAGAGAGAGAGAGAGAAGAAAGTGAAAAAGCAAGCCACCAAGTCCAGGACTTGAACTATGGTTGGCCATGTGGGAGTCTAGCACCTTAGCCACTGTGCCACCTGCTAGCCCCAACCATGGCCATGTCCATTTCTTAGGAGAGGTTTTTCTATAGGGTGCATGCACTTGCCAGAAAGACAGAGACAAAAAGCAAGAAATCACCCCCCAGGTGGGATGGCCACGCCGCAGTCCCTTCTCCTCCATTCTCCTCTTGGGCATGCACGCACACACTCCCGGTGTGAGTTGAAGCCCCTGGGTCCAGGACTCAAACCACGGTTGACTACATGGGAGTCCAGCGACATAGCCATTACGCTAACTGCTGGTCCCAAGGCAGGGTCTTGCTATGTCACGATCTTCATCCCTCTTGAGATAGCCAGGACTATAGGTGTGAGCCACCATGTCCAGCTGTTGGGGTAGGCCAGGACTCAGGCCCAGGCCTCCCATATGACCTCAGCTTGCCAAGTAGCAGTGTCAGTTAGCATGTGCTACTGCAGTTGGGCCTTGACTGTAGTTTAGTTGCCACTCCACACAGTATTGAGCCTGTAATTACTCAGACGATACTGTTTTTATTCATGCCATAAGTCACATCTGCTCTAGGCATGAAAACTCCCATTCATGTTTAGCTGAGAGAGATTCTTGGTGGTGTCTTTTACTTTTTCCTGTGGATTGTTCACAACTGCAGTTTGGTCACAGATTTCACCTGTTTACGTAATGACTAAAAGCTGTCATGACAGCATTCTTCCCGGGAGGAGTTTACTAGTTCATTTACATATACACCTATAGTACTTGGCATATATATTTCCCCTTTCCATTGACTTCACTTCCATGCCATCTGGCTTACGCGAACATGAAGGGACGATGTGATGCTTCACACAGTAACTCAGCCTCGTTTGCATTTAAGGAGAGAGGTGCAAAGTAAGTGGTGAGTTTCACATCACCTGCCTTCCGCCAGTGTGTGCCAACAGGCTGGGCCAGCCCCATGGCCTAGAGCTCAAGGAGCCAGATCCCACATGGCCAACTATGCAGTTCAAATCCCAGCCCCAGTGGCTTGAAAAACACCAGACGTGTGCCTGCGTGCACAAAATCTAAATGAAGGGGAGGAGAAGGGATTGGATGTGACCATGCCCCATTGTTCTCCCTCTGTTTTTTTTGTTTTTTCTCTCTCTCTCTGCCTCTTTCTGGCAAGTGTACTTGTCCTCTGGCAAATAAAACAAAAATATATCCCAACAGACGTGAGGAAGATGAAACTTACGTTCTTGTAAATTTAAGACTTACAGGAAATTTGTTAGTGTCCCTTTAAATTTGCAGAACTCTAAAATGTATTCAGTATGTTAAGAATAATGAAAATGCCCAGGTGTGTAAATAGGTTAAGATGATTATTCTATCAACTTTAGAATTACTCCTAAAATTTGTAGTGCATTTTGATTTTGCAGTGTGATGGCCCAACCTGATTGGCTGATACTTCTGGTCATTTATGTTTTACACTATCAGGAGGAGGGTTAACACTAGTAAGAGGATTTTTTCTTTTTTTTAAGTCTCTTATAAATAGAGAGGGAGGGTGGGAGGCAGGTACCCTGATGGGCTTCGTGCTGTAACCTTCCCCCAGCCCTGCAGCCAACCAAGATCATGGGCACGGAGTGTTCAGGTAGACCTGGGCTGTGAACCCAGGGCTTCCCAGCACTGTGCACTGCTCCCACCACCCGCCTACTGTGGCTGGCGTTTGGATATTTTGACAGCTCGCCGCGTCAGTAGCAGCAGCAGCAGCTTCCCTACTCTGCAGTTTAATCTTGGGTACCAGTCGGCAGCTGGTATCTTGGTTTTCACTCCTACTTTAACTCTGTAATTACAGATGGTTCTAAACGAACAGATAGGAAATCCAGAATCACTGCAAAAAGTGGGTCTACCTCCAAGCCTGAGTTTGAGTTTACCAGGTTGGATTTCCCTGAACTGCAGGGTCCTGAGGACGAGAGTATATCAGAAATACGAAAGCACCCCAAGTGGGGACCTGTCCCTTCTGCCTCGCCTGGCATTTCTCTTCTGGGAGAAGTGGGAAAGCCACCTGCAGTGTTACCAGAGGTGAGTGGAGGGGGTTCTCTCTCTGCCCTCAGTATACCTTTCGGTCCTAGCATTTGAGTCCTGGCGCAGGCTGTTAGGAGGTGGGAGGGAGGCCTTCAGCTTGCACCGTGTTTACAATGACTACCTCTGTGTTTTACACGGTTTACAGGGAGGCTGTAACAGTGAGGCTGGGGCAGCTGTTCTTATTTTTCCCACTTGCTCTAGAGGGAGTGTTTTGGGCATACATGTGCACACGCCCAGTGTATTTCTCAAGCCAGCAGGTCCAGGACAAACTGCACGGTCAACGATATGGGGCCCAGCTGCCTAAACCACCACACCTGATGGGAACAGGCAGTGCTACGTGGTAGCTAACAGGATATGTCTCAGAAGGGAAAGGTTCTAGCAGTCTAGCTGTTCTGACAGCCCATTTAGACACAGCACTCTAGCATCACACTCTGTCAGCTTTCTTCCATACAGAGAGAAAGACAACAAATGGCAGTGGGGCCGGCCCTGCCACCTAATGGTGAGGGAGTCAAATCCCACGAGGCCGGTCATCGTCCAAACCTAGGCCCCAGTGGCTTAGAGAAAAGAAAAAAACATATATATACACATACACATACATACATACCGGGAATCCACAGGTGGAGTAGCAGTTATGTTACTGGACTCCTACATGGCCGACCACGGTTCGAGTCCCAGACCCAGTGGCTTGAAACTCAAGCCAGGCATGTGTGCATACATGCCCAAGATTCCAGGAATGGAATGGAGGAGCAGGGATTGTGGCCATGTCCCCTAGGGGTGACTTCTCATTTTTCTCTCACTGTCACTGTCTGTCTCTCGCCCAAAAGCACATGTGCCTTAAGGCAAAAACCTTTGAAAAGAACCAAGCATGCCAGGGGCATGTGCTTCACAATCTGATAGGATGGAAAAGTGAAGAAGAGAGTGCAGCACGACCAGGCCTCAGCCAGGGAGCTTCTGTCTCTCTGGTGGGTGCATGCACCCTCTGGCAGTTAAAAAAGAAAAAGAAAAAGAGCCCTAAACTACATAGTATAACCTCCATCTGTCTAGTCAATGACATAGCAGCTTCAGCAGAGGTTATTGTAATAGGTCCTGGTAATTTGCTGCTCACTAAGTTTAAATTATGCTATATTCAGCATTAGTCTCAAAGTTTTAGTCCAACAACTTCAGACATTTTCCTTCAGGAGGATTCATTTGAAACTTTGGGGGAAAAATGGTATCGGGTTAGTAGTTCCTAAAATGGCTTCTTGACAGATTTTCCTGCAGGGAGAAGTACGGGTACGAAAGCAAAGAAAAGGAGGAAGAGAACAAAACAAAACTTAGCCAATCCCTTACCTTCTGAGTTGAGGAAGTATTTGCTCCCTGCCCTAGAGCTGCTAGGTGCCGGAGACACAGTGCTGAGGGCTCCGTGGTAGTGTCCTTCCCCGGGGCACCTCCACTGCTGTAGAGCGTGCTGACTCAGAGCTGGGCACGGCCACACTCCCATCTCGCAGCTGTGAGGCTGCTGCCCAGCCCCAGCTGAGTGCACGGTGAGGGACGCGGTGGCCCTCCTCTTGAACATGTACCATCTTGAGGACACCGCACAGAAGTGGGATGGCACGGAGAGTGCGACCGGTGCTGTGTGTCAGCGTACCCTTTTGGATATGTGTGTTAGGTTTTGAGCAGGAGGTCTGTTCCGTGCATTTATGGGAAAACACGGACGCGCTTACTGCCTTACATGTTTACACTTTTGAATTATGTGTGAGCTTTTTTCCCTTCTCTTAAAAATTTATTTTGGGGACCTGCAGTTGGCGTAATGGCTATGTTGCCGGACTCTTCATATAGTCAACCATGGTTCAAGTCCTGGACCCGGCAGCTTAAACTCACATCAGGCGCGTTGTGTGTGCCTAAGATTTCAAGAGGAGAATGGAGGAGGAGGGATGCTGATTTCTCGCTTTGTGGCTCGCTCTCTCTCTGTCTTTCTGGCAAGCACATGTGCCCTATAGCAAAAACCTCTCTAAAAAAAAATTATTTTAGAAGTTTATTCATTTATTTCTTCCGTGAGAAATAAACAGGCAACCCCAAAAGGGTCCTCCAGCCACCATCCAGCTCCAGGCTCAGCCAGCTGGGACCCCAGGCTGTGAGTCTAGCTGAGCGTCATCCTAGGTTGCCCAGAGATGTGAGCCCAGGGCCTCCCTGTGGGCTGTGTTACTGCTGTGCCTCTGTCTTCTCTTCCTTTTAAAAGAAACCTTTTTATCCTGATTATATTACTGTCTCTGTGAACAACAAAAATACTAAGGAAGAAAAGAAGATAGAATTCCTTGTAATTGTACAATCAAGGGGAAACTATGCCTAGCACTTACCCTTTTTTTTTTTCAGGTTCATTTTCCTAATTTCTTCCATGAATCAGAGAGACAGAGTATTCCCAGCAGGGTCTTTTTATTGTAGTCTACCCCTAGCCTCAGCCAGTCCCAGGTCATAGGCACATGCGGGCCCAGTGTACTCGGGGTCCTGGCTGGGACCTGGGACCCTTCAGTGTGGGCTAGCCTTACAGAGCAGTGCATTTGCCATAGCCCAGACCCTTACTCTTTTTAAAAAGATTTTTGCCATGGGGCATGTGCGTTCTGGCGGGGGTGAGTGCGAAATCACTCTCTTGGGAGATGGTCATGCCACAGTCCCTTCTCTGTTCTCCTCTTAGGATTTTGGGTGTGCAGGTACATGCACCTGGTGTATTTTTTAAGCTGCTTGGTCTGGGACTTGAGTAGCCGAGTCAGCCATGTGGGAGTCCAGCACATCAACCTCTACACTACCTGCTCTCCCTCCTTTTCATTTTTAATTGTATGTTGTGGAAATTGAATGAAGGTTTTCAGTTTGTGATTATACATATGTATATCTTTTTTAAAGAAAGGTTTTTGCTGTAGGGCACATATACAATAGGCCAGAGACACACAGAAAAGAGAGAAAGTGAAAAATCACCCCTGGGGAGATGACCACACTGCACTCCCTTCTTCTCCATTCTCTGAGGATTTTGAGCATGCACGCGTCTGGCGTGAGTTTCCAGCCGCCAGGTCCAGGACTAGAATCGCAGTCAGCCATGTGACAGTCCAGCAACGTAATCATTATGCCATCTGCTGGTCCCACCAACATGATTTGAAAGTTACAGTGCTCCTGTATGAATGTAGAAGCCATCCTTCGCTACACCCACTTAGCAAAGTCCAAACAACCCAGTAAAACACCTGTGAAGACAACACACACTAGCCCACGATGCATGCTCCCTTTATGGAAACAAAGCTCGCTCACACGTTGAACGTAAGGCTGCTCATGACACTGCGTGGTGGGGCAAGCTGATGAGTTCACACACGAGCCCATTAAGCAGATGATCAATTTCAAATCATTTTTTAAAAGATTTTTTGCTATAGGGCATGTGCACTTGCCAGAGAAAGACAGAGATGGAAAGTGAGAAATCAGCTTCCCCTGGAGGGCCACACTGCAATCCCTCCTTTGCTGTCTCTCCTTCCTGGATTTTGGGCATGCGTGCACATACACCAAGGGTATTTTTCTGACTGCCAGGTCCAGGACAAACCATGCTGTCAGCCATGTGGGATGAAGTACCTTAACCACCTTGCCACCTGCTGGCCCAAAATAATTGTTAAAGTTCATAGGCTTCACAAATGTATCCATTTATCATTTCATTACTTCCACATTTGGTATACAAAGTAAAAGTATTACAATATGCCTGCTCTTTTGGTAAATCTAACTTTTACGTTTAGTCCAAACAAGTTTTTAAGAATTCAGACAGTTTGAACACCCAGCCTGGTTGGCCTGAAAACGCACTGGGCACGCATTTTCCTAGGATCTCAAGGAAGGCTTGAGGAAGGGGATCATGTGTGACTGACCCTGCGGAAGGTTTCCTTTTAAGAGAGATGCTTGCTGTAGAATGTGTGCACTCACCAGAGAGACAGAAAGTGAGAAATCACCCAGGGGCATGCCCACGACCCCCTCTCCTCCATCCTCCTCTCATGATTTTGGCCACACACGAACATGCACCCGGCATGAGTTTCAAGCCCGCAGGTCTGGGACCCACACTGCAGTTGGCCATGTGGCAGTTGAGCGACGTAACCGTTACGCCATCTGCTGGTCCCAAAAGTGCTTTTTATCTTTTTTTCCTCCCTTCCTCCTCATCTCCCTCTCTCCATCTTTCTTACGTTCTCTCTCTCCCTCCCTCTCTCTCTCTCTCTCTGTGTGTGTGTGTGTGTGTGTGTCTTTCATGTGCTCTGCCTGTGCTATCATGAATGGAGAAAAATACAGAGTGGTTATACTGCAGGCACAGGTAGAGGTATACTTAGACTGTAGCCAACGTGTGATGATTCTTTTGTTGAAGACTGTAACTGCTCACTTTATGTATATATTTGGGCTTTTTTTTTTTTTTTAATTTTTGCCATAGGGCATGTGTGCGCTCCAGAGAGAGACACAGACAGTGAGAGAAAAATGATAAACAAACTCTCCAAGGGGTGTGGCTATGCCACAATCCCTTCTTCATTTTCCTCCTGGGCTTTCGGGCATACACACATACATGGTGTGATTTTCAAGCCACTGGGTCTGGAACTCGAACCACAGTAACCCATGCAGGAATCTAGTGCCTTGACCACTAAGCCACCTGCTGACCCCTATTTTTAGACATTTTTTTATTAGCATATATTTCCTAGATATTTTTGTAATGGCAAGGAAGCTATATTTAAAAATTAAATGATTACTTTTAACTTGAAATAGCGATAACTGTGTCAGCCATTTTTATAAAAGTACTTATAGGCATTATTTTTTAGAGCATTTTCAGGTTCACAAAAATTAAGAGACAGAAATTTCCCGTGGACCCTGCCCACACATACACATAGCCTTCCCCCCGTTTTCAGCGCTCTGCATTTGAACAGTAGATAACTTTTGTTAAAACTGATGGGTCTGCACTGACGTTTCACTGTCACCCAGGGCCCCATAGTTCACGTGGGTTGCCACTTGCTGTGTGTGCTCTCTGGGCTTGCCCAGGTGTGTGAGGGTGTGTGCCTGGCAGTGCCTTACTGTGCAGTCCTCTGCTCTGAAGTCCTCCGTGCTCTGCCCCCTCCCTCCCCCAGCTCCTGCCGACAGCTTGTCATCTGGCTGTCTCCACAGCTTGGCCTTTTCCAGAACGTCGTCTAGATGGAATCACACTGTATTTCGTCTTTTCGGATGGCTTCTTTCATTGAGTAATGTGTATTTAAGTTTCCTCCACGTCTATTTTTTTTTTAGAGGTTTTTGCCTTAGGGAGCATGTACTTGCCAGAAAGAAAGAGAGAGACAGAGATAGTGAGAGGGAAAGTAGGAAATCCCCTGGGAATCCCCTGTGGCTCTGCCACAGTCCCTTCTCTTCCATTCTCCTCCCGGGATTGCGGGCACACACGCATATGCACCTGGTGTGAGTTTCAAGCCACTGGGACTGGGACTTGAACCATGGCCAGCCATGTGAGAGTCCTGTTACATGACCACTGTGCCGTCTGCTAGTCCCCCCACCTTTTATTTTAAGAATTATGTATCGGGGCCAGTCTGCATCTCGCCGGCAGTGAACGAGGAGCTCCTCGCACTGCCCGCCCTCACTGGTGCTTGGTGGTGTCTTTGTTCTGGGTTGTAACAGGTGTGCAGTGAGAGGTGTCTTGTGTTAACTTGCAGCTCTCTGGTGACATCTGATATGTTTGTTTTTTAGGGTGAAATGGTGAAAAAAAAAAATTCAAATGAATCTGTAATTGATAATGCTTCCACCAGTTCCCCTTCGTGTACAAGAGGTAAGAGTGACTACAGAACATTTTTAAGATGAGTCACGTTTCCTAAGTTCATGTTTAACTCCAGTATAATTAAAGTGTTTTTTCTCAGAAAGCCGTAAGTTAGCTAATCTTGTTGATCACCTAACATCAGGGCTAGTTTAGGAAATTAAGTTAGAGCCTTTGTATCTGTGCACAAGGAGTATATAGTGAGAGGTAAGATTCTAAATACCCACTTGAGTAAGAAATTTCATGAACTCGGAAGTTTTTGGTCTCAGGAACCCCTAATATTCATTGGTATAAGAATTGAGAGCCCTAGAGAGCCTAGAGAAAATGTCTTGTCTTGCTTTACATTTTTACAACCTTTTAACATCTAGCCCCTAGAGGTGCTTTGGCACTCTGTCTCACTGTGCATGCCATGCCGCCCTGGGAAATGCCACGCCACACGCATGGAACACAATGCTTTTGGACTATTCGCTGTCTCACTGTCCACACCATGCTGCCCCGGGAAATGCCACGCCACCTCATGGAACACAATGCTTTTGGACTATCAGGAAAACGGTTTGACTCCATGGTCCCCGGAAGGGTCCTGGGAGCCTCCAGGCACACTGGGATGGATCACTGTCCCCTGTCCTGTCCGGGCCAAGAAGTAACATATGCAGAGAGAGCTCAGTAGCGCTGGCTTTTAAAATGTTTCTAGTAACTTGCCACAACAGAAGACATCTTGACAGAATTACTCCAGACGTATTCGTAGGTGTGTTTCTTCTGTGTTTTGATGTTGGCACAGACGAGGTGTAAGACCTTCCTCTAGGAGCTGCTCTGAGGACGTGTGCTCTGCCGTGGTCAGAGCTGTCTCCCTGGAGGTGTCCTCTTGTTCTGTCTGCGTGTAGAGTTTCATGGGTACCTAAGAAGGAGGTGGCTGTGTGCGTACCCCTGTTCTGAGAGAGAGAGAATACCCAGTTACTGTCCTAGCCGAAGTCTCGTGCTCTTTGACCTGTGATGTTAAAGTGCACATCGGGTTAGCAGGGCCAAAATTGATCTCTAGCTCGTTAATTGTGTCTGTTTGCTATGTGGAGATTGCCATGGATCACTGTTTTAACTAAAACTGTTGTTTGTCTGGCCACTCCAAGTTAAAAGACCAGCTTCTAAGAAGCTCAGTTATGGGGAGAAAATGCAGCAGGCATGCTCCAAGAGGAAGAGCAGCTTAGCAGCTGCGTAGCATCTAGGAGTAGCCTCACGCAGCTGTCCCTGAGCAGTCACCTCCTGTCCCGCGGCCGCAGTCACTGAGGCGTCCTCTTACTGCTGAGGTTGTTCACCGTTTTGGTTATCTTTGAGCAGAGTTGTCTTGGACACCAATGGGTTATGTTGTTCGGCAGACATTACCTACAGGACTGTCACCAGCCCCTAAAAATGTTCCTTCCACGATAAACGTAAAGACAGTTGCTTCGGCAGCAGATCCTAAAAGTGTTGGTATGTCATCATCTGAACTTTCATCTTCGGACCCCTCCTGCAGCAGAGAGAAGCACCCCGGCCACCCGACTAAAAAGGTACGTGCGCACTGCTGGGGACAGAGGGTCGGAAGGCGGACGCCAGAGGCCGGCAGAGCAGGGAGGGCGGGGTTCCCTGCTAATAGGTCCAGAGCGTTGGTTTCACAGGAGGGAGAGCATCCTGGAAGTGGGGTGACAGTTGCACAAAGATTTACTACTGCTGAAGCCTGTGCTTAAAAACAGCTACGGTGCATTTCCCGTCGTATGTGCTGTACCACAGGAAGGGCTGGGAGAAAGTAGCGCATTTTAATTGTGCTGCATTTTAATTGTGCTGTACCCTTGTGTAGTCTTTCTATTGACTTATTTATTTTTGCCCCAGGTCCTAATTGTCAGCACGTTTTATTTCATACTGTAGTCACTGTCATCTGAGTTTGTGGTATTTGCACCTTGAAAACGGAATAGGATGACAGTCAAGGGGTACAGGGATAGCTTTCACACTTGCATGTTTCAGACCCTGGTTTTCGATTATCTGTGGCCACTTTGAATTCTTGGAGGCTCAGGTGCCGGCTTGCGTGCGTGCTCTGGGTCTTCCTGTGTTACAGGTGCCCACCCTGCCCTCCTCTGTCTGTGGGCGTAGGTGGCTTCACCAGTGGTGGTAGCAAATAATGTATTCCACATTATGTGATACACTAATCAATGTTTGTCATTGATTTTTGGCTGGCTGCAGTGAATCTAATTGCAGTTTATTATTATAATAAGACATTCCAGAATATTTTTTTCCTCTTAAATTCAAATAATTTTAGATTGTCCTTTGTAATTTGTTTGTTTGTTTGCCGTAAGGCGTTGGCGCTCACAAAGACAGAGAGGGAGTTGCGAGCACTCTCCAGGGCGATGGCCACGATGCAGTCTGCTCCTCTCTTACCCTCAGAGTTTCGGGCGTGTGCCCACACAAACACTGGATCCGAGACTTGAACTGTGGAGGTGGCCACTGTGCCACCTGCTGGCCCTTAAATTGTCATTTTTATTGTCCCTAGATCCAGTTCTTCAAGAAACTGTGTTACTGGTCTAGAATCATTGGAATGATAGTCATCATAATGTCTTTTCCTTCAAAAACTGGATACTGTGCAGTTTTACTAGGGAAGTGGCAGGTGTAACACAGAGATCCAGGTGTGGGTAGGCCCTCTCGGCCACATCCCTGGCTTCCCACCCCTCAGAAAAGCCTTTGTTAGCAGTCTGTACACATCCTTCCTGAGGCTCATGAAAATATAAGCAAATAGAAGTTTCTGGGGTTTTGTTTGTTTATTTGTTTGAAACAAAATAAGATCAGGCTACCTCCGTGGCTTGGTGGTGAAGGCAGCCAGATCCCACATGGCCGACACAAGTCTGAGTAGCAGATCTGGTGGCTTGAGAAACATGCCAGGTGCTTGTGTGAGCGTGCCCAAAATTCCAAACGGAGGGAGGGACAGAGAAGGGGTTGCAGTGTGAATGTGCCATGGGAAATGCATTCTCCTCCCCCTCTCTCTGTGTGACTCTGGCGAGTTCGTGCTCCCCCAGCAAGAAACCAAAATGTGATCTTTCTACATGTTACTCTTAATGCTTGTGTTTTTCTTTTAACAAAATGTGGAGGCCAGCCCCTCCAGGTTAGTAAGTGAACGCTCTCTCGTAGCTGCAGAGGTTTTACTTTTGGAAGGTAAGTCCCCACTGGGAGAGAGCAGAGCCTACAGCCTTCAAAGGCCCCTGCCCTTCCAGAGCCTGCCTTCTGACGGAGGCGCCTGACGACGTGCAGGACTTGCTCTGTAGATGAGCGTCCTGAAGAGGAAGCCAAGCCCATCCCAGGATCGATGAGGGCGTAGGTGGGGGACTTAAGAAATGAGGGAGCAGAAATCCAGGCCCGAGTGTGGAGCGTGAAGGCCCTGAGGCCAAAGCACATTTGAGCTGGTTGAGGAAAGGCCAAGGCAAAGGGGCTGTGGGAGGAGTGAGGCCAAATTCAGGAGGCGCCGACGGGGACCGGTATCTGTGCTCTGGGCTCTCAGGGCTGGCCGACTTGCAGGCACTGGAGCTGGCCATGCTGGCAGAAAGGGCTCGCCCGGGTTTAGGACAAGAGCACGGGCACTTGTCACTGGCATCGTCAACACCACCGTGGCCACCTTGAGCCGAAGACTGGGTTACGTGCCAGTCCACCGGTTTCAAAAGGATTTGGGCGTTAGAAGATTTTAACAGCTTTTTTTCCCTTCAGAATTATTCTACTAAAGGCTAGTTCTTTAGAAAATTGGGGTTCAGGGGCCTAACCAAGCAAACTGCCGTGCCTTTACACAGCTCGGTATCTTCAGTTTGCTCTGATGCATGAGGTTAAATATTCTGTGGAATGCCCTGAACACTGACATATTTTGCACTGTTTTTTCCTAGTCCAAAGTTTCACAAGGTGGCGACCTTGAACAAAATGAAACCTCAAGAAGGAATAAGAAAAAGAAGGAGAAGTCTAAACCGAAATATGAAACCCTGACAGTGCAGGAGCCGCCCAGGATTGAAGTACATTTACATTTTATACTTGCTCTGTGTGATACCGTAATGGGTCTTCGTAGTAAAAACGTGGGCTCATACTGGTTCCTACATGGAAGTCTCGCGCTTGAGTTTTAACCCTCAGCTTCCTAGTTCTGAAGGGAGTAGTGGTCACCCCCTTCAACTCTTCCTTTTGGCTCAGTACACATTTGAATGAACGAATGACCTGGAGACGAAACTGCTTGTGTCGGGATTGAGTAGTCTGCGTGCGCGGTACTAATACTTCCCTCAGTTGTCTTCACCCCTTTTTGTTTCTTGCTTAGAATGCTGGCTTTTGCAGGGTCTCTTTCTATTCAGAAATCTTTAAAGCACCTTACCCTAGAGTGAAGGGTAGAATTCTTTTACTCCTGTAAGGCCCTGGTCAGGAGAATCCTGGGACCTTCCAGGAAGGCTCTTCAGTTGTCGCCCTCCGTTACTCCCAGAATGTCTGTGGGCTCTGAGCCAGCCCTGTCTGACTTCCCTTCTCAGGGACTTGGTAACAGTTTTCCCACTCCGCCCTGCCAACCTCAGGCAGCCTGGCTGCTCGTGTGGACAGAGGCCTCCTAGATGAGCTGCCCGGGTCCAGCTTTGGATCAGGCCCAGGGCACTCCCCCAGCCGGTGGGAGAGCAGTTCCCAAGGCCTGGGACATCCCTGTGGCAACAGCTGCCGGAGGCCTACCGCCGTGGTAGAGTGCCATGGCTCAAGGAGCGAGTGATGCCTGTTTCAGGGTCTCGCTTCCCTTGTAATGCTTCTCAAAGCACCTGAAGTAGTGAAAGTGCCACAGCATATTCTAAAGAGGTCTGAAACGTTTTAGCAGGCTCGTGGCCTCTGTCTCTGTCACTAGCCTCTGACAAGCATGAATTATGACACTCGCAGGTACACAATCTGCACGTGATAGTCTCTCTGATGAAAAACGTCTCTTGAAGAACAAGCACTGGACTAGCTCAGGCCCCAGTGGCTTGAGGTCAGTTCTGCAGACCCCTCTGATGTGCCCAGACTGTCAGCGGCACTTCATCTTTTTCTAGGAGGGGCTATTAGACTGTGGTCTTGAAGTTTGATCCAACAGTGAAATAAAACAGCCCTTATGTTAGAGTGTTTGGGGGCTGTTTTGTATCACCTCTGAGAAGTTTTACGGGGCCTTAATGTAAGCAGGGAGAGATTGCTTTCAGCATGTGCGTGTCCTGCTGACTAACGAGGAGCTAAAGGGCTGTGTGGTTCACTTAGGACGCCGAGGAGTTCCCCAACCTGGCAGTTGCATCTGAGAGAAGAGACAGAGTAGATGCACCGAAATTTCAGCCCACACAGAACCCACAGGTAACTTTTAGGTTGGAAGCACGGTTGCTTTAGGCTTAACTTTTCTGGCTGAACTAAACTCTTGGGAAAAATTGCTTTCCAGGTCCTGTACCCGCATGTTTTTGAACCGAGACAGGTGGTTTTGTTCTGTCATTCCTTCATGGGAGGACTGTATCCCGTGCGTTGCAACGAGGATTACTCTTAAACCAAAGCCGTTTGTCACTGTATAGTATGTACAGGCAGCATGTATGCCCCGTACAGTGTGTACGCACAGCCTGTGTGCCCCGTGCAGTGTGTACGCACAGCCTGTGTGCCCCGTGCAGTGTGTACGCACAGCCTGTGTGCCCCGTGCAGTGTGTACGCACAGCGTGTGTGCCCCGTGCAGTGTGTACGCACAGCGTGTGTGCCCCGTGCAGTGTGTAAGGACAGCGTGTGTGCCCCGTGCAGTGTGTACGCACAGCCTGTGTGCCCCGTGCAGTGGTGACCCCCAGCCTGTGTGCCCCGTGCAGTGTGTACGCACAGCCTGTGTGCCCCGTGCAGTGTGTACGCACAGCCTGTGTGCCCCGTGCAGTGTGTACGCACAGCCTGTGTGCCCCGTGCAGTGTGTAAGGGCAGTGTGTATATCCCGTGCAGTGTGTATGGACAGTATATATACCTCTGTATAGTGTGGTAACTACCTGGCTATGTCTGGGAGCAGGAGGACCAACTGCCTTCTGACTTCAGTTAAAAAAATAATTGACTTGGTTTATGTAGAAAACGTAAGAATTCCTTTGTGAGGCTGTAACGCCTGACAGAAGAAAAATATGAGACACCAACAGTTCAAATCCGGCCAAAACAGAAGGCAAAGGGAGGTGATTCTTTCTGCACACCATTCCACCCATTCCCCTGGGGAGTGGGTTCAGGAGCAGCCTTGTGATTTGCAGTTAGTTTGTGCATTTGCATACTTTGGGCCATTTAGTCTCTAAAATGTTTACTGATATTTTATCTTTTGAGGAGAGTAGATTGGGGCCAGCAGATAGCATGGTGGTTAAAGCACTGGATTCCCACATAGCCAGCTGTGGTTCAAGTCCCAGAGGCAGCGGCTTAAAAATCACACGGGCTGTGTGTGCCTAAAATCCTGTGAGGAGAATGGAGGAGAAAGGATTGTGGTGAGGCCATCTCCCCTGGGGGGTGATTCCTCATTTTCCCTCTCTGTCTCTCTCTCTGGCAAGCACACATGCCCTATGGCAAAAACCTTAAAAAAGGGGGGGGCGGCGATTATTTTCTCATTTATGAAAAATAAAATTCTGGGAACCAGCAGTTAGCGTAATGGCTATGTCGCTGGACTCCTACGTAGTCGACCACGGTTCACGCCCCAGACCCGGTGGCTTAGAACTCAGGCCAGGCGCGTGTGCGTGCGTGCCCAAGAACCCAAGAGGAGAATGGAGGAGAAGGGATTGCGGCGTGACCATCCCCTCTCGGGGGTGATTTCTCACTTTCTGTCTCTATGTCTCTCTCTGTCTGTCTGGCAAGCGCACGCGCCCTATAGTGAAAACCTCTCCAAAAAAAATAAATAAATAAAATAAAATTCTAAACTCTTGTGCAAATGGATTTCCGGTTCTCACGTTACAGATCTGCCCATCTTCCATTCCCACAGCAGGTCTCTGTCCGCGTTTGTCCACTTGGTGCTCTCCCCAGGTGCAGCCCTCAGCCAGGGCTCTTTGGCATCAGGGAAGAAGACACTGGCGGGGACTAGGAATGGAGTTGCTGACACAGATGGGACATCAGCCTTTTGATGTATCATGGGGTTTTCTCCTGCCCAAGTCACAGCTATTCAGCATGTGTTTAAAGTACAGCAAACTTCGGGCCTTCATTTACTCTTCTCCTGCCAGGTGTGATTTGGGCTTGTGTAGACCCTTGATGGTATCACTAATTTTGTGGCTCATTCGATCACGTAGGTTGGAGAGAGAATAGTGCTAA